CCATCACCACTACTACCACTGAGTAGGGCCTTTATACACTGCATGTGAGACAGTGTGGCAGGGTTTTTGTGCAGGAGCCTAGGAGAGCTGTGTTTTCAAGGCATGCTATATCCTCAGCTTATGCAGTTGCCAGGACTGTGCCTGTCACACAGGCAGAGCTGGGACGGGACAGGTGGTCTCTAACGGAGCTTCTTGCTCCACAGAACTTCCTTCACAGCTCACAGGCCCTGGGAAATTGTCTCTCAAGGCTCAGCAGCTCTCACAAGTCAATACAGAGACTTGCACCACCTTTCTGCTGCTCTGCAACCAGTGCCCTGATTCTGCCAGATAACTCCTAAACACAGTCCCACACTCAGTACACGTACAGGAAGGGAGCATGCACACTTACTCAGGGGGGCATCCACACCACTGATTTTGCAGTTCCCATTGCCTGCCATGGCAGAGAGTGGGTCAAGGGGATGTTCCCACATGTTGCCTTGCAGGTGTCCTCTGTGGGTTGCAAACATGTAGATACATGCAGCACCATTGCCATGCTTGTCCCTAGACTGTGTCCTGGGACTGCTAATCCTGGGACCAAGTCTATGGACATTTTGGATGTCTGTGGATGAGCAATAGGCTTGACTGAGTGCCCCCCCCCCCTCCACTGAAGATCTGTTCAAGATCTCTATGGTAAGGGCACATGCACTGTGCCACCTTTTGCCACCTCATCAAGAACATGGTCTTAATCTGTTTGAAATGAACACAGCAGCACCTGTCAGTCCTCTCCCACTTGGTAGCAGGCTTGACATTAGCAGCAGGGTGGTACATGTGCTGAAGAAGCTTTTAGGGAAAGGAGGAAACAATAGTTAAGATGACTAATAGTAGAGTGAAGAGGCTGATCAGAGTGCGAGGGAGAGCAGCAAGGAGTACTTTCTTGGAAAAATGACACAGTAGAGAAGCTGAGGAGCGTTAGGTGACTTGCTGCTTTTGGTTTAAAGGAATCTGTATGTGACGTGGGTCTTTATACCATGAGATGCACTTCACGATGTTTTAAGAGCTCTTGGTATTTGAAGAATCCTTTTGTGTTTAGCTTGCATTTAAGGACTCGACTCTGGTAAGACCCAGTCATTGTTCAACTCAGGGAGGTTTGAAATTCCTCTCTTAAGCATTTGGAGAGGATTTTCTGTTTTAGTATCTCTGAGAAGAATTCTTTTGGCATGGACCAGAACTGCTTTTTGTAACTAGTGGGCACAGCCAGGTGATTTACTTCAGAACTTCAGTATTGCTTCAAACCTGAAGTGCTAATACAGCTGTAGTATTTGTTTGGATAAAAATAAAGCCATGCTTACTGGGGGCTTACGTTTGATAGAAGTGTGATTTAAGCTCAGGTCTTCAAAGCTGAAAGCCTACTTGAGTTTCTTATTATATCACTTGGTCTCAAGTGATTTTATTACTGCAGTGTCAAATATATTGAAGTGATAGAGCAATCTTAAACTTGAAGAAAAGCAGAGAAATAACATGCTGGTAGGAAACTAGCGACTGTAAAATCTTGTGTGATAAAGTACACTGTCTTAATGTAAACTGTAAATGACAACACAGCGTAATGGAGTGGATTGTTCATGGCTTTTAACAGTTTAATGAAATGCTGCTACTCAATCCCCCCCTCCCCCCTTTTAGAAAGAGTAATTGCTTGGATGTTTCAGGGTTTCCACATCAATCTTAAGAGCAACGTAAACCTGCTTTGTGATGTTCCCTAGTCTTTCAAATACTTGCAGAAAGAGACAGTGTTTTATTATGTATTACGTAGTCCACATGCTCCCTGGCTGTCAGAAGGATGAGTGAAAGAGTATCTAGGAAAATCATAGATACCCACACATTGTATTGGGTTAAGTGCAGACAAGTGATCGCTGGGTCTGCATGGAAGACGTGGTTCTTGACTGCAGCATGCTGCTTATGTTCTGCTTGAAGTACAATTTGCCCATGATAGGTTTCAAAAAAGATAACTTAAGTGCCTGCAGATCTCTTCACTGTCTCCCTCACACAGCCAAGTACCGAAGTTATATAACTTGTATACACGCACTGGGAGTCTTCTATTACAAAATTACTAATTATGGTCTTTAAATGAGACCTTTTTCCTTTAGCAGGCAAATGTTGCCTTTTTCATAATTAATAATTCTAAAATAATAACAATAATGAATAATAATACTTGTCCATTGTGTTTGATTACTCATTACCTACTACCCACACTTGCACTGACTATAAAATTACTCATTAAATATTGTTTTCATTGCCTTTGGCCCTTTTATCAACACTCTGCTTTGTAGTCTCACAAGGTAAGGATTAGTTTTCTTAGTTATTTGAGATAAAGTGATGTTAGCTCTCTGTTACAGTGATTTTACAGATTTTCATGTTTTCCCAGTAGGAAGTATGGAGAAGGAATTTACCTTTGGAAGTAGAGTTGTTATCCTTACTTACAGTTACTTTCACCAATCTAGAAATGACTGTAAAAGCTGGTGGTACGGCAATAAATTCCAGTTGTGTACATGTGTAGGCCTTGTTGATTTTTGTTGGGTTTTGATAGCATATGTCAGGTTCATAGAATATTGATAGGTATCAATAGGTCTAGATTTAAAGATATTTTCTTTTGATAATCAGTAACATTTAATATAAAAGGTCTGTTACAAATAAATCATACACCTTCGTTTGTGTGAGTTTTCAACTTAGTATGATGATGATGACTTTGTTTTATAAACATATTCTCTCTTGTGGCTGAAAATAACTGCAGGGATTTATGCAATGTGTATAACAAATGGAAGCTATACTGTTATCTTCTGATGCAAGCATGCATGCTTGGGGCTTCTGTGGTTCTATTTTCTTAAATCCTGAGGCAGAAGTGTAGAAATATGTGTAGCTTGATGGTGGATGAGCTATGTATTTAATATAAACACAGGTCAGATGCATCTGGAGCTTCTGGATGTTACTGTCTCAGATTGCTGAAAGTTTCAACATGTATTACCACTGAAGAGAGAGGCAGTGAGTAGTGCTGTGTTATCCTCTTCAGTACATGTATCAGATAGGCTTCTAGGATTGCATAGTATTGCCCCAAGTTTTCTTGAATATGACCATAAAAGAAAGAGCCTAATGCCTACAAATCTTGGAAAGTAACAGTGGTACTAGAATTTGAAATTTTAAACTGGAATAAAGTAACTCTACATAGAGAAAAGTCAAATTTGATAAATAATATAAACGAATGTAAAACATTTCAAAGAAAATCTACCCTCCTGACTAGCTCATCCTTGAAAAAGAGGATCCTTCCCTCCTGTCCTGCTTGCACAACATGTATTATTTGCCTAGGCGGCTCCCATTGCTTGCATTATTTGCTGGGTCACTGAAAACATCTCTTACTGCTTCAGAAGCCTGGGTATTTTCTATTCTACAGGCAACATCTCCCTGCTGCTCTCAGGAGTTTGTCTCCCCTTTCCTTTTTCTCCAGTCTGATAGTACCTGAAGAAAAGAGTCTTTCATGAGACTAAATTTTACTTGAAACCTTATCTATGTGATATAATGAACAAATAAGGAATAATGCAGTACAGGTAAGATGTGAGGAATTCATATATGAGTAGATTCATGTTACATTGATAGTGAAAGAAATTAGAATGTTTAAAATTCCTATGTTTATTATAGTATTTTCTAGTGAATAGCAACCTCTTAAAGAAGAGTTTTACTACTGTGGGTAAGAAGAGTTCCCCTGTAAGACAGAGCAACTCCTTTGTTCTCAACTTAGATCTCTGTGTCTTCAGATATCCCAAGAACTTCCTAGAGAATTTAACTTTTTAATCTTACCACTACTGTAAAACTATTGCAAGCAAAACTCCTGTTCTTATTAAGTCTGACTGGCATGTAACCAAGCTTATGGAGCATTCCAGCTCACGACTCCCTGGGATATTTCTACTTCCATCCTGTTTCCTATTAGCTTACTAGTCGAGTTTTTATTCTTCACCCGTGTTTTTTCCTGTTAACCTATTAGCCTATGTTTTATGCACAGTTACATGCAGTTTTACCTCTGTTACTTATACACCTCTAGACACTGATGTCTAATTGAAAAATTTAAAGGCAGTGAACAGGTTTAGATCCTGAGTGTTACACAATGGTCAGCCTCTGAAACTTGAGAAACCTCTGACACTGAGTTCATTCAGTTGCTCTTGGGAAATTATTAATTTGCTTTTCCTTCAGAAAATGCCATATTTCCATGCCACAATAAGCAGGTCAGGACAAGTGCACAGTGCTTGTCATAGGCTCCCATGCTCACTCTAACAAAACATACTATGTAGCAAATTGTCTGTCCTGGTGTACTAATGAAGTATTCAATAATAGTTTTGTGACAGAGTACTATATACTGTCGAGGTAATAAATATTTTCTCATGGTGATGCAGGTGGCTGACATTGCTGCTGATTTATCACATTTCCTCAGTTCCAGTCCTTTCCTGCCATGCATAGTCTGTCTTCAGGTTTCTGCATACAAAAAATGAAAATCTGAAAGTGAGAGGGAAAATGATTTCTTAAGTCTAAATATATTTCTTTGAATTTGTATTTACATTTGATCCAAGGGATAAGATTTCTTGTCGTGGGTTCTGAGAAGTTTACAACACTGTAGTAGAGAAAATATCACTATATACTGATGCGTGTTTTGAATTTAGCTAGTTAGGACAGAGTTTGTGTTATAAAATGCCCTGTTTACATCCATTCTTAAAAGCTAAAATTGAGAAATATAAGCAGTTATCTGAATAAGGGAAAGAATGGTTAGAGTGTCTTTTAAAATTCTGCAAAACATTGCTATTGATTTTTTGCTCTAATGTGTAGCCATCCTAAATTTACTGAACCCGTATTGCATCGTCCATCTGCTTTCTGTATCATACTGGCTTGTCTCCCTAATGTCTGTTGATTGTGTGAAAGTTGTTTTTTATGGGGCTACAGCAGATCTGGAAAAACTTTTAATATGTTGTCATGCTTTGTCAGTACAGGTCTCCAGGTTAGCTGATGTCATGGTCAGACATGGTGTGAAGAAAGGAGATCGTGTGGTCATCTATATGCCCATGATTCCACAGACAGTGTACTGTATGCTGGCTTGTGCAAGAATAGGAGCCATCCATAGCCTGATTTTTGGTGGATTTGCATCTAAAGAGCTTTCTGTTCGTATTGATCATGCAAAGGTAATACCTATTTGGAACAGCAAACACCATTGCATTAGTTATGCATATAAATCAATGTCAAAACCCCTTTTTTCCAGAGAGGATAACATTTCTCTTTGTGTGGCTTGCAGTCTCAATTTGCTTATAATACCTGACATTGAAATGTGAACAAAGTGCTACATCTGTGCTGAGAGTGATAGGTTAGTAGCAGACATTGAGATACAAGTTTTGACCTCTTTTATAAAAGCATGAGTTTAATATGTTACTGTCTGTTTAGCACATACTTTCTTCTCCCATTTATCAGTCTTTGTCTACAAAGCTTCACCTTAAAATTGGCTTTTCACCCAGGATTTTCCTCAAGCGTATGAGGAAAGTGCTGTCAACCCTAAATGACTTCATTGGTTTACTTGATGTTTATACATGTTAGGTAGTATGTTTTTCAGCGATATAGCTGCTTCATCTAATTTGTACATTAATCAAGGCAACTAAGGAACCAGTTGTCTTAAGTGAGTGACTCTGCAGAAAACATAATTAATAGAGGTGATCGCTTTAAAGACTTACAAGTTCGGCACAAGTTGAACGTGTTTGTAAATTGTTAACTAAGTTGTAAGTGAAAATGCAGATAGTACTTTAATAACCTACTTAGTAGCTTACATCTGCATATTAGTAGCTTGTGTATGCATGTTTCAAACCAACTAATAATGTTTGTACTGGAAGTTTCTGTTCTGTTTTCTATCAGTGAACAAGATGAAAGTCTTTGTCATCTTGATCAGTCACCTAGATCATTCAGACCATCCGTGGTAGCCATCTATCACTGAGTCATGTTGGTTAGGCATATAAGCAAAAACATTATGCAGGGTAAAGCCCATAGGATTTCTGGAACTTTGACTTAGATTTTTGTGTACAGAAGTGCTTTTCAGATCCCCAAGTCTTGAATTTTATGAATATTTGTAAATAGAAAGTTGATTGCATTCCTCCTCCTCCTCCCCCCTCTTGATGTTTTAACAAAGTGGAACTGAAATGGTTTGTTGCAATTGTGAAAAAGAGCTTGGGGAAGGCTTAACAACAGCTCCATAGTTTTCTCTGTCTTTCTTCTTGCTCCCTCACTTTCAATGAGCTGCAAAAATTAATTTTAACTCATAGAAGCTTTTGATTAGGGAAAAATAATGTAGAAGAAAAATGGTTAGACTTTTAAAATGGAAGTTGCTACAATATGAATCATCTAGCATGTTTCCTTTTAGTGTATTTTACGAATATCAATTAATTAATCCCAGTGGACTTTCTCTGAGGAACAAAGGGAGACAGCACAGTAACCATAATCCTTACTTCAAGCATTAAAAAGAAAACAGAGAAAGTTTAAATGATTTACCCATGGTCACACAGCAAGCCTTTCTCAGGCTTAGCTATAGAATTCCTAGCTGCAGGCCATGGAATATATTCTAATTTACATTGCCTTTTTCTTTTTTCTTTAAAAGGCACGTCTAAATATTTTGAATGAGTTTTCGTCCATCTGATGGGTAATGAAAGTGTGAGTAAAGAGGACAGGCACATCCTCAATCTAAATTTCAAATCATGCCCCAATTTTGCAGTACTGTAAAGCTTTCTTGATGAGTGAATTGCACACTATTGAGATTATTTAAAGGTGTGTATATAAGTAGCTGTGATAGATGATATTCTGCTGAGCTCAGAAGTTAATTGAAGCATTCTCGAAAAACCCTGACCTTTCTGTTAGGTTTTTATGTGAATTCATTTAGGTGCTGCACTACAGGACCTAATGTTGGTAAGATTAATTAGAAGGAGTTAAATATGTAGATTGGAAAGCTGACTGTGGGATGCTCTTGTGGAAGAAAGGTCAAATTTCACATTTTATTGTGCTAGCTAAGTGAAAGAAATAACATGCACTTTCTAGTGACTATGAAAAGGTACATAAACTGTATCAGTTTACCTTAATTTATCTTAAATTATATATTAGTCTGGGAATGCTGCAAAGTCCTGCAGCTGATTATTTTTACTCTTGACAGATATTGGCAGTTACAGATGTTCTGTGGTGAATTGTGATGAAGTGATACAGAGCATGAGAACAGGCATTTCTTGTCATCTTTCTGTTCACCTGAATCTGGGAATATTTAGTTTGCAATATTGAAACTGTAGATACTTTTGAAGGACATTAACTATATTTTGTGAAATTAGCATGACATCTTTTTGTGCACTTTGTATTAGTAAACTAGGAAAACTAAGAAGGATACTTAAGAACAATATGTTTATATGCTTATCTGATAGGGTAGTTACTATGCCTTCAACAACCAAATTTTCTCATGATTTTTGAATCACAATAATTACATAGCAATTCCAGAGGGCTTTTTAGATTTTAAGTCCAAACCCTGCAAAATAAAATGCAAGTAATGGTGTTTTTCAGATGTGATTTTTGAAAATGCTTCACTAAAGCAGTATTGTGATTTGCAAGTGAACAACAATTCTTTGAAATACAAAATGTACGAGACACCGAAGTTATTAAAAACTATCTGTTAGTATCTTCCATTGAGGTCAGAAGTGCTATATTCCTCACTTACTTAAGTTGACACATTAGAGGATTTTAATAAGATTTTCATGGAGCCACAGAAGAGGTGGGAAATGGGTGTATAAAAGCAATATGGGAGCAGAGATAAATATGGGAGCAGTTAAAGCCAGTAATGGACCTTTGATTTGCACAGAGTGATCCATGATGCTTTCAAGTAGCAACCCTCACTTGGGAAATACATCACCTTAGCCAATTTAGTACTGGTTATTTTTACATTTCCTTACTGCATACAAAGCAGTTGATGGGCAGAGGCGACACCATTTACAAATGACTGTAAACATGGTGTTGACAACAGTCTTTCATCTTAACAATTAAATAGAACTGTGTTAATATCTTACAGTAATTACAGTCTAATTGCAGGGTAGCCTCCAGATGAATTTTCAGTTTATCTGCATTGTATTGTATCATCTTTTATTAAAATCAGTGCATCCCAAAAGAGAAAGATGACAAATGCAGAAGTTTTAAAGCTAATCTGAAATCTTTATTTTGAATACAAACTAATTAGCAAACTTCCCTCAATGCCAGATTTGGACAGGAAACATTTTATTATTGCACAAGAAAACAATTTAATCTGTGCTGTCTGTGCTGAGTTCAATGCAGCCTTGACTGTGACATTGTACCTACTTAATGAGATTTATGCTAATGCATACAATTAGTGAACTAGCTTGATGAGGGGCATATTATAAATACACTTCTAGAACTCCAAAAGCAAGGAGATTGAAGACTCATTCTTCTCCAGTTAAAATGTGTTCTAACATGTGGTTTCTTTGGTGTTGCTTTCTGTTCCCTGAAATACAAGAAATAAAACCAGTGATCTTGGGACCTAAGTCAAAATAATTTGTATTCAGGTTTCTTGACTTAGGAAATCTTAAGTAAAACCTGGGCTTAATTTAATCACAAAGATGCTGAATACACAATTGGAAATATAAATTATTCTAAAAAAACTCACAGAACTGTGGAAATCTGATTTTTAGTAGTTTTGCATCCTGAATCCTGCAGCCATCACTTGGAAGACTCTAGCTTTATTTCCCTCTTGTGCTTTATGACTTCACCTTATTCTCTTCCTGTATTTCTAGTTTCCTGTCATCTCTTGTTTGCTGCCTTTTTCCCCTTTCCCCTATTTTCCCTCCTGTGCCATTTAATTTCAGGCTGGAAAAGAGCCATCAAATGCTATAGCTAGTTTTGAAATATGCCGTTGGGTGCGGGCAGATAACTAGAAATCAAGCTAAACAAGACAGATAATTGTTGACATCACTGTGCTACTTTTCCTTAATGGAGGGGCTAAGATGAAGATAGGTTTTTCTTTCTGTTAATTATTTTTTGTGTGACTTACAAAAACTTAATACTGTTGATTTCTTACTCAAATTTGTTTGAAAATGGTGAAAAGTGTCAAAAGTTATTAGTGTGCTCCTGAACAAAACCAGATGCATGGACAGCAAGATCACACAAGCTTAGTTTCCTTAGAAAACTGATCTAAACCCCTGTTTCTAATTATTTGAAGATAGTTTTTATACATTGAGCATCTTTAATCAAAGAATTGAATGGAAAACATGTTATTAGGTTACATAAATAAAATATATTGCAAATGTATACATTAACAGTCTAACTTCTTTATATTAGCCCAAACTTATTGTAACAGCAAGTTTTGGAGTAGAACCGAAAAGGAAAGTGGAATATATATCCCTCCTAGAAGGAGCACTGGCAAGTGCACAGAGCAGACCTGATAAAGTTCTCATTTACAGGCGACCTAATTTGGTGAGTGTACAATTGTTGCGCCTTTATGTTAATTTTCAGATGTGCATGTACTCCATGTACCTTTTCTCTTTTACAAGTAAAATTTTTGATGTATCTGTTATAGTTTGTTTTTGATGTATCTGTTATAGTTTGTTTTTGAATTTGCTGTGTGAACTTTATATTCTTAAGATGTAAATAGTAAATAGAACTAATGCAGCAGAGAGATTACTGTGCAGAAAGTTGAATAGTGCTGTACAGAAGATTGCATAGTACGTAGTTGTTGACCCACTTTCATTTATTCCATCTGTTTTTCTTTCAACACTTTTCTGTTTTTCAATGGACAGGGCCATGTTCCTCTTGCCCCAGGTCGTGATCTTGACTGGGAAGAAGAGCTTGCAAAAGCACATTGTTGTAAATGTGTCTCTGTTCCCTCAGACCATCCACTTTATATTCTGTATACATCTGGAACAACAGGCTTGCCCAAGGTAAAGGACTATCTGTAGTTTAAGTGTCTGTGACCAATGTATTTGCAGTTCCACTTGAGAAGGTACTTAATTAAAAAGGTTGAAGTGTTTGCCAGAGCTCAGTGCTATACATTATAAGCATTGCTAGAAATGGTTTAATCTCATTTATTCACATTTCACTACTTTAAAGTCAGTGTCTAGGAACAGAAGACTTTTGTTTATTTAAATAGTAGTAATAAAGATAAACTGCATTTACTTCAAGATGTTTGTACAGTATACACTTTTCAGGACAGCAGAATGTCTTTTATCTGTTATTATCATCTGTGTTTTAACTGTTTGAGGTAAGCGTAGCATAGCCACTTAATGGCAAGATTATTTAATAGAACACTCGTGTGATAGCATTTATTGCTGAATAATCTTTCCTTATTCATTATTTGCATATTAGCTAATCTTCAGATTAAACGGAATTAAGCATGTTCTGAAGGCTTGTGTTACTGAACAGTTCTGAGAATGTAATTCCCTTGAAAATGAAAGTTTGGACTGAGTAATTGTAAACTTACAGAGGGCATTCTTTGAAAATGTTTACTTTCAAATGTCAATTAGTCTTAATGATCTATTTTTAAAATATCTTATTTTAAAAGCAAACTCTTCAGTGTTTGCTTGGTACTTGCAATTCTCTTCTAAGGTGTAAAAGACAAGCTGAATAGAGATTTCTGGTGGTGGTTTTACCACCACAAACTCAGAGACGGTATCACACATCTCTGGATATGCAGTGCTTAGACTACTACTAGAAAATTATTTAATGATGTGGCCTATAAAGTTCAGAATCCAGGAGGAGGTAAGGGAAAACAAACATCAATTTTGCTGAGAACAAATGTCTTCTGCTTTTGCCTTGAACATGGGTACTTTAAAGCAACTTATGTATCTTGAATTATATTGTCGAAAGGTCCAAGATAAGATCCTTTGTTACAACAGGTCTTGACTGTTAGTTTCAGAATATAGTATCTCGGAGATAAAAGTTCTCAGAAATTTACTTCACTGTATTGGCTCTCCAGAGAAAAATATAGACACCTTGATGAATTAATCACCCTTATAAGAGGGAGATTGTCAACTAGCAGTAAGCTGCAATGAATAACTTAATGAATAAAATAACTTTTTTATTAATTTTACTAACTTGCTTTTAAATGGTCATGCAAGTAAAATTAGTCAGTTATGGCCTTCATAACAAAACTTTTGTTAATCTCAGAGCAGGGACTAAGATAGAGCTGAGACTAACAAAGGCAATCTGCTCTCTGAAATCTGTGAAGTGTTAGCTAACCATTCTCTGCTGTGGCAATCTCAATGAGTTAAGATATCTCTGCAGTCATTCATTTCTTGGACGAGGCTTGAAGGTGTCTATTTCATTCTATTGACTACATAGAGAGAATGTACCTTGCCTAGCACAGACAGATAGCTGTATTGCAATGTCTGCACTGTAGATGTTGTTTGGTCAGATGAATCTCACCTGAATTTTAGTCATGACATCAGGACGTAGTTTTCTTAATTCTTTCTTCTAGAAACAGTGTACTAAAAGATAATGAAGTGTATAGTAAACATTCAAATATTACAAAATATTTCAAAGTTTTTCCTATTAACAGTGTTCCAGAGCCCTTTTTTTTGTCTTACCGAGATGCATGATGCTATTGATACTGTCTTGTTCTAATTTTCAAATCCCTCTTTTAGATTAAGACTGTGATGTTCTTCATTGTGCATTTGAATGTGTACTTCAAGCTAGATACGAAACCTTTCAAAAATAGACGAATGGTTCAAGCCAGTTTTCTGACATCTTTAGAAAGAGTCAGTGCAGACAGAGGGGTACATTTCAGGGAGTAATTCACCCCAGTTATTTCAGGGATCAGGTACTCCATGGATGCTCCTCTTTTCCAGAGGTGATACAGAGAGACTAGGCAATGAATTTAAAACATGCCTAGCATTTAGATGGCCACAGTTTAAGTGAGGTAAATATTAAATCTCTTATTTTTTGTCAGTGTACGTTGACTAAATATTTTTATATCTGATTTTAATGAGAGAATTCTAGTCTTTGTTAGTTGTCTTCTGAGAACTGTTGTCATCTAGGGCTTGGCTTGGGTTTTTATGTTTGTTGTATTGTACATTTGTTTATTTGTTTGTTTTCCAAAATTACTTCTATCACAAGCATATGCTTGTTGGAATAGATCCTTTTCTTAAGTGAGAAGTATTGGGATCAGACAACTTGAAGTCTATTGCTGCTAAACCCCCCTAAATTTCATTAAATAAAGGAATATCATCCTTCAAATGATCTTAATTATTCAAATTTTCTCATTTAGGGTGTTGTCAGACCAACAGGTGGATATGCAGTTATGCTGAACTGGACAATGTCAGCTATATATGGACTCAGATCTGGTGAGGTAATTCTGCTTAAATGTCATGTAAATGTTTTTGAACTCCTCTTAACAACTCCCCAGTATATTTATATTTTTATTTCATTTTAGGTGTGGTGGGCAGCTTCTGATTTAGGCTGGGTTGTTGGTCATTCCTACATTTGCTATGGGCCTCTCCTTCATGGAAATACTACAGTTTTGTATGAGGTATGATCCATTCTAAAACGCAGCCTTTGAAAAGTCACCATCTCCTCCCATGGATGATCCTGATGATCCTGTTTATGCCTGTCCATTCTTCATGCCATATGTATTTAAATTGTGTGTATGTCTTCAGTGTTTTTACTCTCTCATCTATTATAGCAATTCTTAAGGAAAACTTACTTCACTATCCTTCAAACTTGTCTACTTCATCTGTGTGACTAGTGATGGTCAGTGGGGCAAGGAACTCCAAAACAACAGACGTAGACATGGCAGATGGTGGAGTGTACCAACTTCAGCCACAGGCTGTTAGACTACCTTTATTATGGATCTAGGAGAGGGTGTTGTGTTTTGTGGGTCTGGAGATGGCAGATTCTTACTGGATCTGAGTTGGAGGCAATTGGGAGCTCTGTGGTTGCAGTCAGAACTCTTAAGGATACTCGTCTATTATTTCTTCTCTCAACCACTCAAGGCACCTGAAGCCAAGACTCAGATGACATTCAGGTCTTGGTCCTTTTCCTTGGGATGCAACTCAGTGAAGTAGAGAGGAGACTAATCCAATTAGAGTGACCTGCTGCATCCTAACTTTGGCCCTCAAAAAAGCAATCATGCTGCCTTACATTGTTTTTTTTCAGAAGTTATTGATAATTCTCTAATAACCAGACAAGAAGATACAGTGTTGCTTGAACCATCTTCTTTATTCTTCTGGGAGTGAATCCAGTATCCACCAGTGAAAGCAAAAGACATTTTATGTAAAAGCACCGACATTGTTAGTTCTTAAGCATGCTGAGAGTTGGTTGCCTGCATTCACTTAACATTATAAATTCCAGCATCTCCAGCACTGTGCAGAGTGAAGCCCACCTAGTAATTGTTCTGGTTTTTTCAGCACTCCTAGTGGCAGAAGTTGTATTATCATTGTGGCATGCTCATCACCTCTGTTGATTTGTAGTGTTAATTAGAAATGTGTCAACTGTTATAGAAAATCTAATGGTATCTCATGGCAAAGCATACAAGAACTGCAAAAGTAGAGTTAATGTTCTGGATACTGAGGGCATGAACAAGCATATGAAACAGGCTTCAATGGCATCGTCAATATAGCAGTTGTTAGAGCACAATCTGTACCTAGTGTCTGAGGAGCAGGGGAGTCAGCATGACATGGTGGAAACATGCTGGTTTACAGACCACTGTCAAGTGCAGAAGTTCTGCATAAAGAAATGTGTATTATGATTAAACTTTCTCCATCTTCCTGCTAATACACCATACAAGTGAAGATGACCATAACAGAACAGAAATGGAATGTTACTGTTTTCAGGAACAAGTATTATCAGAACAATCCTTTGGTGTTTGCACAACCAGTTAAGTTGGTATTGGTTGAGATGTTCCTCACTGTTAATGAACTTATAAACTGCTGTTTGTGGGTAACTGGTACTGGGATTGTGTCTGAATTTTGAGTAAATATGTTTCTGAATCCTGGGGATACTGAAGAAGCATGAACAGTTGTTGTAAGGTGAGGTTGCCTCCAAAATTGTTTGAAAGCTGCTGCATCAAACACTACAGAACTGACTAGCACTTCCTGCATCCTGTTTTGGAAGTTAGAAGTATACTTTACTGCTCAAAGTTCACTGTATAAACATATAAGTGAGATTTGCACAAGCAGAAGACACCTCTTGAAGCAGGTCAAGAATCCCCAAGTCCAGAAAAGCAATGTTTGTTAGGGGTGCATGTACATGATATTTAGAATCAGAGCAATAGTGTAGTTCTGAAATAAATCTTCTGATTGTCCTTGCTTATTGATTTCGTTCACAGCGTGGTTTTAGACATATGAATGATGTCTTAACAGAGAAAGCTGAGACAGAAGCTTTGCCACTTGGGATAAAAGGATAGGATCCAATGAGTGGGACTGCACTGCTGTGAAGTTCTCCAGAGCAAATGAAAAATACACGTGCTAACAGAAAGCTTTAAAACTGTCAAGAGCTCCCACCTGATTTTACTTCTCGTGCTATGCAAAAGGGACAAATGCTATGTGCAACTTCGTATTTACTAATGACCACCAGCTGTCTGCTTGTTCTGACTTTCATCTGCTACTTTATTTCTTCCAAGCTGTGGCCTCTATCTTCATCACCAGCCCTATTTCCTTTGCTGTTTCTACTTTATAAACAATATATTTCTAATGATGCTATTAAAATTATTCCTCCTTTCCTACTGCTGCATTTTGCGATAGTGACAACTGTTGCTTTGGCCTCCCAGAATGTTGAGCAAGGGCAACCTGTTTGACAGCATGTGCTCTGAAAGGCCCCAAAGTTTCTCCAGCATATGCATCACCCTGTTGCTAATGTCAAGCCTACTACCAAGTGGAGAGAACTGACAAGTAGTGCTGCATTCCTTTCAAGCAGATGAAAACCATCTTCTAGAAGAGATGGGACAACTATGCTGCAGAGGTGGCATGGTACACGTGCCCTTACCATAGAGATCTTGAACAGATTATCAGGAGAGAAGAGCGCTCTGTGAAGCCCACTCCTTATGAGGACATTCACATGCACTTGGTCCCAGGATTAGCAGTCCTGGGACACAGTCTAGGGACACGCATGGCAATGGTGCTGCACGTGTCTACATGTTTGCAACCCACAGAGGACACCTGCGAGGCAACATGTGGGAACATCCCCTTGACCCACTCTCTGCCATGGCAGGCAATGGGAACTGCAAAATCAGTGGTGTGGATGCCCCCCTGAGTAAGTGTGGATGCTCCTTTCCTGTACGTGTACTGAGTGTGGGACTGTGTTTAGGAGTTATCTGGCAGAATCAGGGCACTGGTTGCAGAGCAGCAGAAAGGTGGTGTAAGTCTCTGTATTGACTTGTGAGAGCTGCTGAGCCTTGAGAGACAATTTCCCAGGGGCTGTGAGCTGTGAGGGAAGTTCTGTGGAGCAAGAAGCTCCATTAGAGACCACTTGTCCCGTCCCAGCTCTGCCTGTGTGACAGGCACAGTCCTGGCAGCTGCATAAGCTGAGGATATAGCACGCCTTGAAAACACAGCTCTCCTAGGCTCCTGCACAAAAACCCTGCCACACTGTCTCTTCCTCTCCTGAAATATCATGTATAAAGGACCTACTCAGTGGTGGTAGTGGTACTGGTACTTCTGGCCCTAGGTCAGATCCTTTCCTTGCCCTGCAATCAGCTGCTTGTACAACAAGTACTGTTCAGGATGATACCATTTCTTTGAAACGCAGTGGTTAAGGTAATGGTTATTGGCAATATAAGATATCTTCCTCTACCCCAGGTCACATTTGGCAAGGGTCATAAAGGGAAGGGCACTGTGGGCTCAGGTAAGGCATAGTTGGATTAGCAAGCTTTACCCAAAACATTTGATTGAATGCAGCAAGGGAGCGCGCGAAGCACACAAGTGTGGAGGAGGGGAAAACTAAGGACAGAGAAAAGTATTGTGAATCAGTTTCTCTTTAGTTGTTGCTTAACAGTTACCAGATTGAAAGACATGATATCCAGTGGAATTCCTCCCATCCCACTCCATGCACTCCAGAATGCTTAGTGCCTTGATGACTGTCTTCAGTGAAAGAGACACAAGTGCATTGCTGGATGTCCCACCTATGACAGAGAGCTCTGCAGACAGGGACTGCAGAAACTCTGCTCATTGTTTCAGTCTGAAGGAAGGTCTCAAAGTTGTCCTCGCAGATGGTTCAGACTAAAAGTGACACCCCAGATTTGGGAAGTTCTGGAAGCATTTGCACAGTGTCTATCTCACATAGCCCAGTGTCTTTCAGATGACCAAATGTAGATTGCTGTCCCATTATGCATGCAGTAGAAGTGCAATTAATTTGGGCCTGTGCTGCACCTCTGTCAGTGTACCTTGTGGTGTGGCACACAAGGGTATCATCTCTCATGATGCTCACTGGCATAGAGGATAATGTGAATGATCTGGCAAGGAGGCACTGGCCTATGCTTTGGTTCTGTGACTGCAGATATGGAAGATAGGGAATATAGAAACTTTATAGTGGAGCCTACTGGCTATGTGTGAACTGACATGCTATTGTCATCTGCACGAAATAGATGAAGGGGACAGCGTGACACTTCCTAGGAGAGAAGTCCCTTCAGTCAAAGGAGCAAAGATCTGTAGCATAGCTTTCCATCAGAAATCTTTGAACTGCTTTTTTGGTCCAGTGAACATGGCAAAGTCTAGTCTAAAGTAAGCCTCAAATAACATTTAATGGATGAGGTGAAGAGCATTGGCATTAAATGGTTTGATCTACTAATCTGGTCTAATTCACCTCGCCACTTGCTATGTAAACAAAGTCTGTGACACCATATGTGCTCCAATTCATATTTCATGTTATTATTTCACATGATACTAAGTTTATTTTTCCCAGTGCATGTAGTAGGAAGATTGGTAATCTCTCATAGAACAGAAGATTGTGCTTAGGTGACACCTGTGTATGTTGTTTTGTGCAAAATCCTGTTGTTTATCATTTTTGACAGAAAAATGTAAAATAAGAAACAAATTGTAATATTTAAAAGCAAAGCAAATGTTGGGGTCTTAAAAATGTGTTTTAGCATTTGTTCTTTTCTTTGTGGTTAACTTTTAACTTTGTGGTTAACTTTTAAAAGCATTAAATTTTTCTTCTGTTCTTGGAAAGACTGAGTAGTGTGTTAAGTTATTCTATGAAATAGAAGAGGAGCTTTTGTCAGGATGTTTTTCTTCCATGTAATTTTGTGATCTGCAGGATCTGAGGCAAATAGCTTTTTTTTTAGCTTCTAGGCATTGGATTGATTTTTCAATAATCTTTCAGAAAAGCAGAAACAAAAACCTGTTTGCAAAACAGGTATTTTTTATTAAATATTAAAGTCCACAAAGTGATAATAACAAGCACAAGGGTTTTTCTCTCCCAAAACAGCTGAGACAGAGAAGCCCATATGCCTTAATGCTCCCAGCCAATGACTGCAGCAGCTGGGGAAAACTTAAACAAATGCTTATTCTTAATTTGAAACTCAATGTATCTTCT